GCCAAGGACTTCTTTCAAAAAGAGGAAAGATGCCAGCTTCAGGATTAAGGTGTGTCCGACCCAAGGCATGCTATTGTCAGTTTATTCATTTGCATCTGACAGGTGACTAGTGAGTAAGGAAGTCTAAAGAATTGGTCCCTTTTAATTGGGATAATGAACAGTATTGAATATATATAGATGGCCAAGAGGACAAGCATGTCTCCCTTGGAAGAAGTGCATCTGGAGTGCTTGTCACAGGGGAGGAGAGTAAGATCTTGTCCGACTTGCTTGGAATGAGGGAAGGTCAGTGAGGGAAAGAAAAACCTTCCACAGGATGGACTCGTGCCGTGCCTGCGACCATGGGCTTGGGCACAATGGAGCTTGCGAGAATGGTACAGGACATGGCAGGCTTGATCTGTTCTACAGGAGGTTCCAAATGGACTCCAGGGCACTAGGCAGCAAAAGTCACATCCTGATGCCTGCTCCTAACCCTGTCTGGAAAGTTGTTGGGTAAGAGGACTGCGAGAAGGGCAGGCGTGTGGCCAATGGATACCAGCTCTGGCTATCCAACCCTCCTCCTGCTGCTGGTAGCCATGACTGCGTCCGGGCGAGCGAGCTGGCCACCTTGTGGTGAAACTCAGTAATGACATCTGCATCTTCTCGAGGCCACAGGCTCCCCGATATGGAATGTCCCTTCAGGGCTTGGAATTAACTTTTTCTCTTCTGTAGCTTCTACTACTATGCATGACCTGGACTATGTGATTCCCTTCAGATGCTGGTCAGTCCTGCTGGACTTTTGCTGGATCAGAGCGAAAGGAAGCTGGACCAGTGCCTGAAAAACAAAACATGTTTGTGATGAACAGGAAGGAGCTGACACACCTGGGAGGAAGTGCTTGGCTCCCTTTACTCATGCAAGGGTAGGTGAGCCCAGCAGGTGTGGAGTGGGGCAAAGGTGACCACACAGTCACACTTTGAGAATAGCAACACCGGTGACCCAAGGCCTCTTTCAGGGTTAGAGAGAGCAGTTTCAGTACAAACCCATATACCCAGCCAAACCTTGCCTGCTGTCCCCCTACCCTCACCCCCACCCCCACCGCCGCCTGGGGTGAAAGGCCTGGGAGAGAAAGAAACAAGGCAGCTGCCTGACTTTGGATCCTGCTGTTGTTGAAGTGGCTCCTGAGAGACCTGAGTCAGGCTTCCCGCACAGCAGTGACCCAGCAGAGATGGCCAGCCCAGAAGGGCACAGACCAGGGGAGATCCCAATCATACCTTTTCCTGAGAGACCAAGGCCACTGGGTAAGGCAGCCTCGGGACTTCAGGGCATTTGATCAAACACTGAGTTCAGGTGAGGTTTGACTGTAGCAAATGCTCTCAGACCTCCTTCCAACCCTGCTCGGTCACCAGGCTCTACTCTTTTAGGTCCCTAAGTCCCGTTCTTGAGAGGAGACAGTATTTTCTGCCTTCTGTCACTTCCATCCTCTGAGAACGACGCGAAGGCACTCACCTGAGGTGCAAAATTTAAGACACAAACACAGACACAAAATTCCATAATCAAAATGCACAATATTTTAGGGTTGCCTTCTAAAACTCAAAAGTAACAATCAAATAGGAGGGAGCTCTGGTGGCCTAGTGGCAAGAAGCTGCACTGCAAGAGGGGCCTCCTGTACCCGTCAGATCCAGTTTGACGGTACACACACACACACACACACACACACACACACACGTATACATTTTTTCTAAAAAGAATCAAATAGGGAGACTCACACTTCCTGGTTTCTAAACATACTACAAAGTGACAGTGATTACAATAGCCTAGAACTGATATTATCATAGACATAGACCAGTGGATTCTGACATGATGGGAGACATAGACCAATGGACTTGAGTGGAAAGTCCAGGACTAAATGCACACATCTGTGGGCAATTGATTTTTTTTAAAATTTTTTTTATTTATTGTATTATTGTTACGTGTACCGTCAAATCAGATCTGACTGGTACAGGAGGAGGTTGCCTCCTCCTTCTCCAGCAGAGAATCTGGTGGATTTGAACCGTGTACCTCTGGGATTGCAGTGCAGCGTCTTGCCACTAGGCCACCAGAACTCCCTGCAATTGATTTTTGAGGAGGATGCTGACTAAGTTCATTCAATGGGAAAGGAGAGCATCTTCGATAGAGGGTGACAGAAAAGTGGATTTTCATGTGCAGAAAAATGACTTGAAGTTCATGCCTCATATAATCTTTTTAAAAGAAAGAGAGAAACCTAATTTTAATGGAACCAAAGACCTAAATGTGAAAATTGAAACTGAAATTTCTTAGGAAAAAAATATTGGATGCGGTTATGGGACCAAGTGCTTAAGGAGAGAGAGAGATCATCAAATTTCTAACAAATCAAACCAAAATCAAGCAGCAAAAAACCAAAACAGGTAGCTGGACCTCATAAAATTGAAATACTTTTGTTCATCAAAGAACCTTATGAAAAAGTGGAAAAATGCTCTACAGATGGGGAGGGAAATTGGGGAATCACAGATCTGGTAAGGGTCTCATGTTTCAAATGCATGTAAGACTTCTACCACTTAGCATCAAAAAGACATACCCAGTGGTGGTGGTGGTGGGGGATAGTTAAAGGACTTGAGCAAGATAGTTTATCAAAGAGGATGTTCAGATGGTCAACAGATGAGAAAAACATGCTCAACATCCTTAGTCATTCCAAGAAAGCCCAACTCCCTGCCATCAAGTCACTTTTAACTCACAGAGAAGTGAAAATGAAAACCTGGGTGAGGCATCACCTCATCTCCATGAGAATGATAATGGTCAACACAGGAATCACGTTGGTGAGGGTGTGGAGGAACTGCTAGTGTGGGTACCAGATCGCACAGCCTCTTCGGGAAAGCATTAAAAACACTGGAACTGTTCCAGTAATCCCAGCCCTAGGCGTGTACACAGAAGTGAAGACAGGCTTGTCAACAGGAGCCTGTGCACCAGGGAGCTCTGCCGTACCTGTCTCAACAGCCGCAATGTAGAAAGGAGCCAAAATGTCCATCAGCAGGTGCATGGATAAACAAAATGTACGTGTACACACGATGGTCGAGTTGGCAAGCATAGCTGAATACACACAAAGAACAAAAGAACCTGTCTTGGAAGAAGTGTACCCCGAATGCTGCTGAGTTTTTAGAAACAAGGATGGTAAGACTTTATCTCACATACTCAGGGCATGTTAGATGGAAGGGCCAGTCACCAGAGAAAGGTGTTCCCCTTAGAGATCCTCAGCAAGACGGAGTGCAACGGTGGCACGCTGAGTGAATGTGAGGCGGATGCAGGACCGGGCGTTGACGTTCTCCTGTACCTGTGTGACTACAAGTTGGAACTGACCCTACTGACCTGGCAACAACACACATGATGGACTATTACACAGCCATAAAAATAGATGGAAGCGCCAGTAGGTGCCACAACCTAGACAATGAAAATATGCTGAGTGAAATAAATTAGTTGCAAAAGGACACGTATTGTATGCGCTCACTTAGATGAAATAAGCAAACACAGAAATCAGGTTATGAATGGTGTACAGGGGTAGTTGTTGTCAGGTGCTGTCAAGTCGACTGTAACTCATAATGATCCTGTGTACAGCAGATCTTATGGCCGAGAGATCTGAATCTTGCCCTATTCTTTGCCATCCTATCTCTGATATATTTAAGGTAATTGTCACAGTCATTGTGTCAGTCCATCTTGTTGAAGGTCTTCCTCTCTTTACAAGAGTCAACTCATTTGCTGTTAAGTTGGAACAGACCCTCCAATGGGTAATCAGAGGCTATAAATCCCACAAGGAGATTAGACTTTTTTTCTTAGATCAATCAGCAGATTCAAACTGCCTACCTTTGGGTTGGCAGCACAACTTCTTACCCATGAAGCCACCAGAAGAGAAAAGAAATTAGTTGTTTTCTTTTGGAGGGCATACATCAATGTTAACATTAATTTAGCAATGTTAAATTTTGTTCACAAAATCATATTAACAGTAGTGGAATATCTCGGAAGGTTGTTGTTGGTAGGTGTCCTGAAGTTTACTGTGACTCAGAAGGTGGTTGTTGGTAGGTGTCCTGAGGTTTATTATGAACAACGGTTAAGACCCCTGCGCTGTCCTGTGCCATCCTCATCATACCTGATCTACTCAAGCCCATTGGTACAATTAGTGTGTCGATTCATCTTATTGAAGATCTTCCTTTCTTTCCAAGAACGTCCAAGGAGCACCCTGGTACACTTTCTCCAGGACATACTTATTCTTTTGGAAGTTCGTGGAATAGCCAGTGCTCTTCTCCAATATAACTCAAAGGCATTGAGAAGGTTAATGGACAGCATTGAAAGTGTAACCAATGTCATTGAATTAATAAATGTGGATGTGGTATTGGCAATTCATAGCTGTGAGTATTCTCACCATAAAAATTCACCAAAAAATGCAAATTAATACCACAAAACCCATATAAAAATCATTAAAGCAATGCAGGCTCTAATCCTATACTTTCACTAGTATGCTTAACTAATCCCAATAAAACTTTCTTTTATAAAAACAAGTGGCCAGCCTGAGAGCTACAGTTTAGTTTGTCAGTATCTTGATGGTTAGATTTTTTTTGTTCACGCTTCGAAATTGTGCTTGAAGCAGCCATGAATGAACTAATCCCACCTCAATGAGATCAAGGATGGTCGCTCAGACACGTGCTGACCTGCGCTGCCTTCGCTTTCTGCCTTAACTGAGCACACCTGGCCGGCGCCCTCTACCTGCCCAGAGCCACCTGGCGGGTGGCACGCGCGCAGGACGGCCTCCCACGCCCCGCCGGGGTCGCCAGAGTTCCCTGCGGACCAATAGGGAGTGGGCCCCCCTCCCAACCTCCGCGGAACAGCCAATGGGAGCGCGGCATGCAAATGAGCAGGTGCGGTGGCGGCTGCCGGAGCAGCGAGGCTCCCGGGCTGTTAGAGGCGCGCTGGGCGGCCGCCGAGCAGACGCCCGGGCTTCGCGCTGCCTCTGCGTCCGGCCATGGCCCCCGCTCCGCCCCGCGCCGCCTCCTTCTCGCCCGCCGAGCTCCAGAGACGCCTGGCGGCGGGCGCCTGCTGGGTTCGCCGCGGGGCACGCCTCTACGACCTCACGGGCTTCGTGCGCCACCACCCGGGGGGCGAGCAGCTGCTGCGGAGCCGTGCTGGCCAGGACATCAGCGCCGACCTGGACGGGCCGCCGCACCGGCACTCGGCCAACGCACGCCGCTGGCTGGAGCAGTACTACGTGGGCGACCTACAGGGGGACCCGCAGGTACGGTGTGCGCCCTTCCATACACTCGCGACCGGCCAGTCCCAGTCACCTACCCAAGGTGACAGCCTCCGTCCTCCTCTCTGCACCCCCTTCTCCCCAGGTAACAGGGCGCACGGCCCCTCTTGCCGGCAGCTTGACCTTCCTTTCCAGGGGTCTGTCTGTCTGTCTCCCTCTTTTCTACCTGGTCAGGCTGCAGCCTCTGCCATCTGGCAACCTGTTTCTGGTCCTAGCCGCTCCGCCTTCATGACAGCTCCCCATTTTCGGGTCAGAAATGGGGTTCCCTTGACGTTCTATTCCTGCTTCCACGAGGGGCTTGAACTATCGCTTTCTCAGCAAGCTCGGTTTCCTGTGCCCGCTTAGATCTCCGTCAGGGCTCAGCTGGGTGAGTGGAGGGCGTCCCCCAGCCCCCCTGGCTGTCCTTGGCCAGAACCCTGGCTTGGGCGTCTACCAGAGGGAAAGGGTTAGGTGGGTTTTGAACGCTGAGTGTAGTATAAAGGGGTGGGGGGTGGAATACAAGGTCATTGGTATTTAGGTTTCCAACTGATTCGGAGCTAGACACTGTTACTCATGCTTTAGGAAATATGGAAACTGAGACTCAGAGAGGCTATGAGTGTATCCAACGTCAAACAGCTAGCTAAGGGAAAAACCAAACGTACCCAGTTCCAAGATCCATGCTGTCTTCACCCCCAAGACTCAGTCAAAAGAGGCTCCAGGTGGGCACTAGCCAGAGGCAAACTACCTGGCAGCCCTGGTGGGGGGCTTCTCAACAGTGAGTCCACCGTGTTTGGACAAACACCAACATCTGCCTAGCTTTTTTTGTCAAGGTGGATATGGCAAGTGCATTTAGGTCTTTGGAAGAAAGATTTGGCTTCTCTCTGCTCCCAGAGGTTCTTCATTGTGCTGTCTAGCCTAAATTTTCCATCTTTCTATTCATTCGCCCACTTGGTCACTCAATGGTTGGTGGACAGTGCTGCACTGGGCACAAGGGGAGCCATCAGTGCACAAACCCGATGTCATTTCTGTCTTTGTGGAGTCTGCAGGCTCCTGGGGGTGCGGGGACATGTTAGTTACACAGTAAGGACTTCATTAGATAGAGTTCGCAGAACCTGGCTGCAGAGTACCATTTTGGAGGGGAAGTGGTGAACAAGAGCTTTCTTGTGAAACTGACTTTTTTACTTAGAGCTGAACAATGGGTAGAACTTAGCCAAGTAGAGAGTGGTGGGGAGAACATTCCAGACAGAGGGAATAGCATGCATGAAGCCTCTGAAAGGGGAGGGCTTGGCCGTGTCAAGGGCACAAATAAAACCAGGATGGCCTGAGTCTGGTGGACAAGAAGGGAATGTGGGACGAGATTGCGCATTCAGACCCTGCAGGGCCCATGAGCTACATACAGTCAGATTTAGAATGGGAAGTCAGGAAGGAATGGAAGCCGGGGCGAGGCATGGTCTTATTTGCATCTTTGGACAAGCTCTGTGGTCACAAGGCAGAAAAGTGCCAGAGCAGAAGTGGAAGTCAGGACACCATCAGAAGGCCACTGTGGGTTCCAGGTGAGAGGTCCCCGCGGGGTGGCTAGGACAGGAATTTGAGAACTCTAGGGCAAAATGCACAGCCATTCTGTGGCAAGAGCTCAGCTTTTATCTTGAAAGTTGATGTTCGGTGTCCAATCAGGCTGAAGGGGCAGGAATTGTCACCCAGGTGACAGTAAAGCCAAGGACAGGAAATCAGAGAGGTTGGAACCAGAAGGCTGGAGACTGGCACAGTGCCTTGTGACTCTGTGACCCATCCTATGTTGTAGCCTTGGGGTGTGGCTTCTCCCGGCATCATCTTAGGATTCCTTCTGGCGGGTCACCGTGGCCTCACCTTCCCTTTCTGTAGCCACCCAGCACAGAGCTTTGGTTTGGTTCTGCTTTGCTTTGCTTTGTTTTATGTATCTCTCAGGGAACACTCCCAGAGAATATCAAACTCACATACTTGTCCCACCCCTGCACTCATCCATCAGCCCCAGCGCCCCAGTGTGGCCGTAATGTAGGCTTCTAATATCTGAGCCCCAACCTGAGGCTACTGAAAGAAATAAGAACTAACAATTCGATGACAAGTCCATGGCCCAGCCCTTGTTTGTAGCCTTCTGTCTGAGGTTTACTGCTCTGGGAGCCCATGCTGGACTGCCTTGACGTTGGAGCAGAGGGTGGTCAAAGGAGAAATGTGGGCTGGGTTTTCCTTTAGAGACTCTCTTGTTAAACTCTGAGTGGAGATGGAACATTTCTGTTCTTTTCTAGCTAAGTGCTTCTGTTTGTTGTTACCCCAGATTCACACAGAGCTCTGGTGGCCTGGTTCTTAGGGAGTTGTCATCCTCTTAGGTGCACCTCAAATCATCTCTGATTCACAGTGACCCGCTGACAGCACATCCAAACCTCGCCCTGTCATGCACCATTCTCACAGCCTCTGCATCCTCAAACCTATCATTGTCCTCACTGGGTCAGTCCCTCTCATTGAGTCTTCCTCCCCTTAGCGGACCCTTCACCTTTTCAAGCGCAATGTCCTTTCCCAAGGACTAGCCCCTTCTGACAACATGCCCCAAACAGTTGACTTTCTGGCCATCGCTAACCCGTCTTCATCCATCTCCCACCTCCCCTCCTGCTGGACCTGTGACGATGACACCTGTTGAGGTGAGAGACTGGCTCCTGTAGGAGGGACATTGATGGCCGAGGGCAATGCCAGTAACCAGCCCTGTGACATGCTCACATTCTTGCATGATGTCCCTCCTGCGGGCCCTTCTTTCCTGGTTTAGTCACTGGGGATCAGAGTTCTGGAACCAGGCTGGTCTCGTTGACTTCCCCTGTTCCCCACTTTGCCACACCCTCCCTGCAGTCACACTTGCACACACATTCACACTCACAAAGGCATACATTCAAAACAAGCTGAACCCGTTTGAACCAACATACTGTGAGGATGAGGTCTGCCATGGCCTTGGACTTGAGGAAGCCGAGCTGCTGGCTTTGAGTAAGCGAAACAGCATAGGCTGAGCGAGGAGACCAAGCCCTCTGCTCGGTCCCCCAGTGCCTGTGGGGTCCAGACCTTCACTCCAAGTTCACGTAGGAGCAGTGAGCGCCCTTCCAACTGTGGCACCATCGTTAGAGGGCATGCTGTCCCTTTGTCGAATTGTGATGTGATTTTTTTTTAAAGAGATGAATTTTAGGTTTAAACCTCCTTCCAACACTATAGACGCGCATCCAAAAATTATCCCTAATCTGTCACCACTGATGATCCAAAAATCACCTTTGTCAGTCACATAGTTTTTGGTGGTCGTGGTTTTGGTTTTACTAAATTTGGTGGACTTTTGCACTTTTGCAAGGAGCCCTGGTGGTGCAGTGTTTAAATACATGAGCTGAACAGAGGTTTGAACCCACCAGCCACTCTGCAGGAGAGAGAAGGCGGTCAGCATCCATAAACATCTGTAACCTTGGGGGCTCCGTGGAGTGGTTCTGCCCTGCCCTGTAGGGCTGCTGTGACTCAGAATTCAACTTGACAGCAATGGGTTTTGGTTTAAACCATGATATTAATTTTTACCTTTCAATCAATTGTCTTTCTCTCTTACCGTTTGCACACCCTGGGCATTGATGCCAGTGACATCACAGGTCTCACCTCACATGGAAGAAAATGTGTGCTGTTACTTTTATCTGGATACACTGAGTCACCTAGGACTCACGGCAGCCTTGTGCACAAGGAGAGAAAACCCCGACCAGTCCTGTGCGTCCTCAGGACTCAGGCAGGCCTCAGTCCGTTGCTGGGGACACTGCATGTCCTGAGTGCCTGTGAACCCAAGAGCCTCCTGTTTCAGTGCTGTGCTGGGGAAAACTCCCCACGATTCTGTTTTAATCGGTAGGGTTCGCATGGCCTGGTGTTTGAAAGTTGACCTCTGCTTAGCCTGGAAACCTGACAGCTGTCGTCTCTGGGCGACTCTACTGTGTCTGAGACTCATGGTGTAGATTCTGGCACCGTAATGCCCAACACAGTCAAACCATTGCTGGGGGGCTGGGAATGTAGAACAAGTTAAGCAATAAAGGCTCATCCTACATACAACCAGATAGACCACACTTTGGGAAGCCCTGGTGGCCTGTGGGTCATTTTCTAGGATTGATGAGAGGAATAAAATTGCATGTAAAACAAATGAGATAAACAAGCTCATCACAGCCCCATAGGGCCTTTCCCCGCACCAGCCTGTCCCAAGAGGATAGTAATTGTCAGACTCCCCCTCTCTGACACACAGACCTCGTATTACCATAGTATGGTGCCAGCCAAGAAAAGCCCTCGGTCTGAAGGGGCCCTGCAGGAAGCTGACCTCCTAGTCACTGGTCTCAGGCTGATCCTGATAATAATGGGAGTGTCTCCAGGTGCCATGTCTCAGCCACAGGGGGTTCTGCCAGACTTTGGGGACTTTACACTTTAGGACTTTAGTCAATAAACAGTAATGGACTATGTTCGTGAAGATGGGTTCCTATCTGTCCTGCGCTGGTCTCCAGATATCTCAAGCCTAGTGTGAGGTGGAAAGCCAGGCTGAAGGCGGAACTCAGGTAGAAGCAGAGGCGTGGGGAGCTTCCAGGCTGCCCAGCCTGCAGAGTGAGAGGCCATGAGGACCCTGCTGGCCCAGGGGGTTGAGAGTACCCCACTTGTAGAGGCCACCTGGCCACTCAGCAGTCACCACCCTTCCCTGCCTACTGCCTACAAGTGACTCCCAAGCTCTGGGGGGTATGTTGTGTGCCAGGGAAGCGTGGCCTTGAGGCTGACTCTAGGGCTCAGACACTGTGGTTCTGTGGTCCCAACCAGAAGGCTCTGGACTCACTTCCGAAACCAGAAGATGAAGGGGCTTTCAGATCCAAGACTGGAGAAAGAGATCAGATGTTAGGATTCCCTGATGGCATAGTGGCTGATGAAGGTATCGAGCTTAAACGTCAGCAGTTCAAAGCCATCAGCTACATCTGCTGGGAAAAGACAGACGATCT